CAGTGCCACTTCCAATGATTCTTTCTTTGTTGTTGTCACCAAAAACGACATTGCCGCCTTTGAAATACTCTAAACTCCTAAATTTGGATGCGTCTCCGGTCATGTGCTTGGAGCATCCGCTATCGAGATACCAAGAGGTACTCGAAGCCTTCAAGCACACCTACAAAAAGATATCAAGGAGACGGTTTAGGTACCCATGTATTGTTGGGTCCTTTTTGGTTAGCATATGTGCGATGTGTGTGCGTTTGTTGAAAATTCCTAATTTTGGTGAAGCACACGGGTGCAATGTGACCTATCTTATTGCAATAGTGGCAAATAACATTTGGATTATTCATCCTATATAGTTGAGTGTAATGAGTTCTAGGTTTGCTAGGATGTGCTTTTCTAGTTTGATTATTTATCCTAGCATTTTCATTCCCCCTAGCTTTAACAAATGTTGTTTTTCTAGGTTGGTTTTTCTTATATCCAAGTCCTTCACCATTACTAACTTTTTGCTTAAGTATTTTATCTAAGGTGTTTGAGGCATTATTGAACTTTCCCAATTTGCTCTCTAAACTAGCGATCTTAGCTTTTAGTGATGTACAACTAGAGCATGTTGAAGAAGAAGTAGTTGAAGGTTCTTGTGGACTTTTTCCAAAAGAGATAATTTCTTGTTTAAGTTTATCATTTATATATTTGAGTTCTTTGATTTCATTCTCAAAAATCAGGATTTTTTGCTTTATTTCATTGTTTTCTTTGGAAGCCTTTTTGAACATTCTTACTAAATCTTCTACAATGCAAACAACATCATTAAGAGTTAAAGGATCATTGGGAGAAGGTTCTTGATCACTTACCTCTTTTGATGTATCACCATCTTCAATGGCCATGAGACATAAGTTGGCCACTTCCTCCATTTCCGAGTCTTCACTCCCGGAGCCGTCGTTCTCCCAAGAAATGTAGGCAAGTTGCTTCTTCGGTGCCTTCTTATCCTTCTCGTTCTTGAGCTTTGGGCACATTGGTTTGATGTGTCCAATTTCACCACACCCATAGCATTTGGGTGGAGTGTTCTTCTTGGCTCCCTTCTTGAGCATCATCTTCTTGAATTTTCGGACAAAGAGTCCGAGGTCGGTGTCGTCGATGTCATCATCTTCATCATCAACGTTGCTGTGGGTTGATGTTGTTGCGGGTAGAGCAATAGACCTCGTGTTCCTCTCTTCAACCACCTTTGAGAGTTGGGTGGTTTCGTAGGTAATAAGATTACCTCAAAGAGCATCATAGGTCGTTGTTTGGAAGTCACGACCTTCTTCGATTGCGTCCACCTTTGAACGCCATTTGGGGGATAGGCTTCGCAGCACCTTTCTCACGAGCTCTCGGTCGGTGTATGTCTTCCCGAGAAGATTGAGAGGATTGATGATGTTAGAGAATCTCTCAAACATTTCCTCAATCTTCTCATTTTCCTTCATTGAAAAGAGTTCATACTC